TAAGGCGGTTAAAGATTGCAAGGTTACTTTGAGCAAAAATAGTCTCATTGGTGGCACTAGTTGTGACTGGCAAATAGACACAGCTTCAGCTTTGCTCAAATGACACATGCATCAGAAGTGGGGACTGTGTGGCATGACTGCAGTCAAGCTTAGAGACAATTAAAAGGTTTGAGCCAAGAGATATATAATTTGTAATAGCAGAAAAGGAGTGGTGTATATTCAGGAACATATCAATCCAAGGAGCTGATATGCTATGTGGATGTGCTAATCTGGGTAGACCACAATCTCATATAAAATGGTGGTTGAATGAGGAGGTTCAGAAAGAAGTAAGAAATAAGTGAAGCCAGCAAAGTGATGGAAAATAACCCCTCAGAAGAAATAGTTGCTGCCTACAGAGCCTCCAAGCAAATAGCAAATCAAGGAGTCAGAAAAGCAAGAAACCTAATTTAAGAAGAGCTGCACTAGTTGAACAACTGGTCTCAACTTGCCAGCAGGAAATATATGTGATTGAATGGACAAGAAACAAAAGGAGGGAATCAGATAGTTGCATTCATCAAATAGTGGAGCCTATTTTAGGAAAAAAAGCAGTTTGTTTTCTGTAAAGGAAAGTGAACAACAAGATGTTCATCACTAGAGAGCTGGTGGAAATGAAGCTGGAGGGAAATGTTGAGCATTTTCTTTGCTTTAGAGAAAGCATTTGACAAAGTGCTTTGGCAACTATTGCTATTATGAAGTGATACCAGTGGGCTTTGTCTAGTGTTTGTACAACAGTTCTATAACAGAGGTGAGAATGCCAGTGAGAATGTCCAGTTTTTGTATGACAGTTCTGTGACAGAGATGAGAATGCTCTTCACTGTAATGGATGCTCTTGAGGTGAAGGTTAGGCTCCATTCAGGATCAGCCCTAGTCCTTGACTGCTCATATTTATGAACTTCAGAAGGGTAGCCGAGCTTGTTGTTTTTAAAGTTTTTCCGGTTACAGACTAATAGTTTAGTAGCACTTTAAAGACTAACAAAACATGTAGATGGTATCATGAGCTTTCGTGGGCACAACCCATGTCTTCAGATGACCGGAGTTTTGAGTTTAGGATGTGGAGATCCAAAATAAATAGGAGAGAAGTGGAGGAGAGGGGGGAAAAAAGGAGGAGGGTGGGAGACAGGGAGCGGAGGGTATGGAAAATCAAAGGGAAAAACAGAAAGGCAGAGCTGGGAGTCGGTAAGTATCTGCAGACTGGGTAGTTAAAACGAAGCAGATAAAAATCAAAGTCAATAGATAGTATGTTTATGAAGACTTTCATAAGAAAATAAATCCAAATGGAAGATGATTCTTCATTAATAGCCCATAGTGAGGAAATTTTGGTCCAGATGATTGATGCCTGGATCAGAGAACTAACAAACTATGACCTCTAAATGAATAAACAAAAGAATGAAGACATGGGTGACTCTCATGCAACCCAGAGAGATGAATATGAACATTGATGTCCAAAGCCTAAATCAGGTTTATGCATTTAAGTACCTTTGGAGCCAGTTAACAGCAAATGGAGAAATTTGATCAAGAAGTGTAGCAAAACTGCTTAGAAGATAAATGGATTTATTCATGAAAAGCAGAATTCAGAATCAATTTTACAAAAGCATAGGAAGATCAGCTCTTATATGGTTCAGAGCCATGGATGATCAAAGAGAGGCACTTGGGAAGGCTTGAAGCCACTAAAATGAAACATTTGAGAAGAGTGAGAATGGTGATGTTAAGAATGGCCATAATGGGGCAGACCAAAGGTCCATCTAGCCCAATATCCTCTCTTCTGGCAGTAGCCAATGCCAGGTGCCCCAGAGGGACAGGATGTTGCTGGACAAAATGCTGAATTATATCATCAGGAGTGAGACCAAGATCTATATAATATCAAAAAGAAGTTGCAAGACAGGAGGCTGAGCTGGTATGGCCAAGCATGAAGGATGGATACAGGGATTTCTGTTGGGGAGGCATTTGAGACTAGGATTCATGGGAGGAGAACAAAAGTATTGCCAAGAAAACAATGGATACACTGGGGGATAGTAGGGCATAGTGGATGTAAAATGTTAGTAAATATTAACCCTTTTCTTTTTCTTTTATATTAAATGTATTACATATGAGCTATTTTCTCAAAATCTTTACAGTATTAGCAAATAATATGTTTGAATAGTAAGGTCAGAGTTCTGGCTTATAACCTGTGAGTGAATTTTATCTGTTGAATATTGGACCATATTTCATTATGTGTGGTACCTGCAAATCTGGGAAAACAGATTTCCAGAAAAGAGACCCCCTAAAACTAGGAAAAGTGTCTAAAGAAATATAATCAGGACTGGGAGATTGATAAGGAACAATTATAACTGTATATGGTTTCTGTAATGATGAAATGCAGATCCATTAAAAGATGCTGTTACTTAGTGAACACTACTGGTTATTCTAGCTGTCAATAATGACTAGAATAGAATTCCTTTGAAATTAGATGATTGCTAAAATAAAGATGCCATAAAGGAAATTTTATAAGTGATGAAGTAAAAAAAAATCTTAAACATGACATTTTAAATGAACCATGGAAAAGTGCTTTTTCCTCCATAAGGAGGCTTGTTTCATACCTTCTAAAAGGACAGGGGGAATTGAAAATCAGGTGGGGAGTGAAAACTTCCAGCATCCCAAATTAGAGGGCAGAGATGCAACGGCCAGCTCTTTCATTTTATACCAAGGGTAATTATGTATTTATTCTTTCTGTATTCTGTATAGTGTTGTATTGATCTCAGACTGAACATCTGTGATTAGATAATTCCATATGAGCCTATTTGACAATCTCAAATTGTTAATAAATTCAAACATGTAACAGGAGTGAGCATTGGCTCAGCAAGCCTGGGGAAAAAAAGACTCTTCAGTGACCCAGCTAGTCTGGGAAAAGAAAGAAGATATTACATTCAGCAGGTCTGAGAGACAATGGGGATCTGTGTCCCATCTTTTGCCCATTATAGTTAAGAACATAAGAACGGCCATTCTGGGGCAGACCAAAGGTCCATCTAGCCCAGTATCCTGTCTTCGGACAGTGGTCAATGCCAGATGCCCCAGGGGGAGTGAACAGAAACAGGTAATCACCAAGGGTATGTCTATACTACATGGCTCCATTGATGGAGCCATGAAGATGAGCTTTGTAGACATAGTAAAATGAAGCAGCGATTTAAATAATCGCCACTTCATTTACATCAAAATGGCTGCCACGCTGTGCCACTCAGCTGTTTGTCGGCACAGCACGGTAGTCTGGACGCTCGGTGGTCGACATCAAAAGCCTTTGTTGACTGCCTCGGTAAACCTCATCCCACGAGGCATAATGGGGTGGTCGACAAAGGCTTTTGACGTTGACCGTCGAGCGCCCAGACTACTGCACTGTGCCGACAAACAGCTGATCGGCACAGTGCAGCAGCCATTTTGATGTAAATGAAGTGGTGATTATTTAAATCACCACTTCATTTTGCTATGTCTACAAAGCACATCTACATGGCTCCGTCAACGGAGCCATGTAGTGTAGACATACCCATGATCCCTCTCCTGTCATCTATTTCCAGCCCCTGACAAACAGAGACTAGTTTGGGATGTCTAGCTCAGTGAACCAATCTGTTATTTCATGCACATTGCCCAACTACACTACTCTCTACCTCATGGCACACTTTAGTGGCTGGCTTATCTCAATGACAATTATCTCTACCACTGATTTTTCCAATGCCATATTTATGATGTATCAATTGAAAGGAATCTGGGACTGCTACAAGCATCCACATGGTGATGACCATTCATTTATCCAGAGTAAGCACATCTTGGTGTTCATTCTCTTCTAGAGGGGGGTGAGCTGATCACACAACTCCAGGATCTAGCTTTGCTGCATCCAAATGCTCTGGAGCCATTTCTTGTCATCTCAGGCCTGTTTCTTAGTTCTCCCCACCACTACTCAGTGCTCATTGGGTGGAACCAAAACTGCCACCCACAAGTTGCAGTAGTTCTGTAAAGACCATCCAGTCATCCTATTTAGTTTGTCTGGGATCCTTGCAAATACAATAGAGAAGTGAGATGCATCCTTCTGTGCACATCAGTGTTTCCAGAGGAGAGTTCATAAGTGGCTAGCAGGCAGGGGAGAGCTGTGGGGAAGAGGCTTTCCAATCTCACACAATTTTCTGAGCCTTGTGATGTGCATCCGCTGTCCCCCACTATACATGATGGCAATTTCCCACAAGGTAGAGCTCCTGACAGTGAAGCAGAGGACACAGGGGCCCAGTTACCCTGCAACATCCACTGGCTCCAGCAGCCAAGTATGAACACAATGGTTCTTCTGGAGTCACCTGCCAAACAGTTACTAGAACAACTGTCTAGGGTCCACAAGAACTTATGGAGAGATGGGAAGGAAGAGGAAAAGAAGAGCAGGAGAAGTATTCAGGAACTTTAAAAGGGGAAGCCTTGAATGTGTCAACAATATCAGCTAATATCCCCTCCCCCTAGCCCCCAAATGCCCACAGGTGAAAGGCTGCCAGTCTCATGAAGGTTTTCGCGGGTAACAAGAAACCGCTGGGGGATTGCTTTCTCTGTGACAACCTGTCCTGGCTGGAATCACAGCCATAGTCCTAGCCAGGCGGGGAGGAGGGGTGCCATCACCGCTGAGGTTTAACTGGGGAAGTGGGGTGTGGAAAACAGCCTGGGGTGGATCTGCCTAGTGCAACTCAGGCTGCAGGCGCTGTGAGAAACGCCTGCAAAATCGTCCATCTAGCAGGAGTTCAGCAGCACGGAGGAGCTCACCGGGGGGTGCGCGCTCCTATCACGTGTCCCAATCCTGCTTCCAGTGTGACCCTCACCATCCTGCGGGTGGCATGCGTCGGGGGCCCGCTCTCTCGTCAGGTGGGCTCCTCGTCTCTAGTGCAACTCAGGCTGCAGGCGCTGTGAGAAACGCCTGCAAAATCGTCCATCTAGCAGGAGTTCAGCAGCACGGAGGAGCTCACCGGGGGGTGCGCGCTCCTATCACGTGTCCCAATCCTGCTTCCAGTGTGACCCTCACCATCCTGCGGGTGGCATGCGTCGGGGGCCCGCTCTCTCGTCAGGTGGGCTCCTCGTCTGTCCTGCTGCAGGAGGAGGAGGGGGTGATCCGGGAGGCCGTTAGGACCCGGGGGAACACCAGCCGCCGTGCGGGGCTCCGGCGCCCACGCCTCCCACCAAAAATTCACAGCCCGGTGCTGCTGGGGCGCTCTCACCCCCGTTTTCTCCAGAGAGCGGAGCCCGGAGCCGGCAGCGAGGAAGCCTTCTCCCCCCGCCGTCTCAGGCAAAGGCACCTGCAGCGGACGGAGCCGGCCGAGGCACGGCGGCGCGGCACTGGAGGTACTGGGCTTTGCTTTATTCCGGCTTTTCAGAGGCGCCTGCCTCCCCCGCCCTGCCATGGCTGCGGCGTTTCAGCACTCCCCTGCCTGCCCAGCGCTCTCGCCCAGCTGCTCCGCATTCCCGCCTGGCCTCCCCCGCAGCCCTGCCTGGGCCCCCTCTCGGCCCCTCCGCTGCCCCGGCAGCCCGCGCCCGCCAGGGCAGGGACCGGGGCACAAGGAAAGTTGAGCTGAATGCTGCGATCTAGCTCCCAGGAGGGGAGCGCGGCTGGGGACGGAGGGACAGTGAGGGGAGGCTGGCAGATGGGGCGCGTGCCCACGACCAGCAGGGAGCTGCTGATGTCCGTCCCCCCCCTCCATGCCCCCGGCATGTGAAACCCGAAGCGCGAGGATGGGTTGGGGAAACAATCAGGGTCAATCCGATGTCCTGGTTCTCTGAAGGGAAATCATCAGTACTGGTGGTTTGCTCGTGCGAGGGAGGGTTGTGAGTCACTTCCACCCGGCTCCCCTTAGCTCCTCCACTGCAGAAACTCAAGGAGTAAGTTGCTCTCATGCCATGTAAAATCCCCCGAAGAGCAAATAAAGGCAAGAGACACCATTCATTTGATAGGATCTGCCATAACTGATTTTCAGCTGCTCAAAGCTTTGGGGGAGGGGAGATGTTGGGAGCTTTTTGGGGGAGGGAGATTCCCCCCCCCCCCTCAAAATGTGGATTCTTAAATATTTGCTCCAAATAAGCCTAAGTAAAAATGAAGTTAAGGAGCAAATGGCTGGTCTTTCTTTCACTATTCAGTGACTGCATCATATTTTGGAAGGACTGATCAAATTATAGAATGGCAGATTTCCATGTAAATCAGGTGCTAAATCTGATTTTCTAGTATAGGAAAAGTTAATATGGTACCAGCATGTACATGGCATGCTATGCAACATTATGTCAGGCATGGCATAACAAAGGTGAGGATTTTATTTTTCAATATTAGTTATCCATATACTAAATTGGATAATCTTATATGTCGTTTACTGATTTGTAGTTAAGTATGCAGTTTGAACATAACAGGGTCCATTTGTTTCTGCCAAATAATTGGTTCTGACAAATATTGCTAATATTTTAAGGATTGTGTTGATTCATCTCAGCTTTGAAAATCATGGAGCATTTTGTAGGAATCAGTCATTTGCAAAGTAATACAAAAGAATAAGACGTTGCTATATTCCATTTTAAGGAACCCTTTAAGTTCCCAATTCATTAATCAATCCTGACTTCTAAATCTTGTGCCGATCTGATTTTGCAACTCTTACTTACATTGCATAGCACTTACTCCAGTGGGGAATCCGCTTGTCTTCTACGGTGTAAGGATTGCAGGAACTAATTTGACAGCATTGATTCATATATAATTCATTAAAGTATGTTTTGTACATAAAGGATACCTTATTCAAACTCCAGGATGGGCTGCTGCTGTTCCAAAAGAGAACACTATCATATAAAATGGAAATATCTTGACCAGTTTTATGGTATATTCCTTACACCTTGGATCTGTAAGTCCCTGCAGCTTTCCATATACGTGTGCAATCGATGATGCATTTATAGCACCATTTGGCAAGAGTATTTTATTCTCTCTATAGCTATAGCTAGTGTGCCCATTACTGTGGCATCTGGACACCTGCATCACATACACACAGCATATGTAAGGAAAGAGAAGCAATATCAGGTTCTTTTATGGGAGGGGGGGAGTTGGGAAGTTCAGTGAGTAGTGACTAATGCAGTTTTTGTTTGAAGAATAAACAGAGACCCATCCCTCTTGAATTCAGTACAATCTCAAGAGATTTAATCTGAGAACTAGCCAAACATTTTCTTTCCTCAAAGGATTTGTAGAAAGCAAAATCCTAATATCTGTCATGTTCCTTATCAGATTACAAACCCTTATCCATTCTAAAATGAAATTAAATGTCCCCTTTTATGTAAATTGAGAACTGCAGGTGTGTGCAAGAAGTGAGAGGTAAAACCACAGGAAAATGCTTCATTTCATTGGTGTGAAAATCTAATCTCTTTTTTTTCCCAAATAAATGCAATACAGCATTAGTAAAGGGAATAATTCTGTAGGCCCTTCCCAGGAAAAAATGTCTGTTGTCTTCATTGGGAATTATGCCACAATCAGAACTAAAAACTGCAGGATTGTACCAATCATGTACAATTAACTTTAGCATGCAGTGAGGGGACTGTTTTTTTTTTTTAAAGGATCCAACATTTATAATGTGTATCAAAAGTACAGGAAAATTAGGTGTCATGTTTTTTAAAGGAATAAATTGATTTAAGAGTCAGGTACAATGTACACATATGTTTGTGCAGCTATTGTAACACAATAGTCTCTGCCCACATAGTAACTCTTGTCCCTCAGCATTCAGTCATCTGCCAATCAGATTTCAGCATGTTTCATAGATAACATATTTATATGTGAGAATTCATTGCATTACCCATTACTAGTAACGAATCCTAAAAAAAGAATATCAAACAACATGCGTAGGTAGTATAGTCCATTGGATCGATTATGACAAAAGTCTATGAGTATGGTGCTTTGTGCAGAACTGCATACTGATATTTGGACTATTTGACACACATTTTATGAGTGAGACATGTCCTATTGCCTGTTTTATTCCTTCTGAATTTTCCATACTTTGCATGCCGAAAGTTCATTGATGACAGTGCATATGATAAGCATTTTATCAAGACTTGGTTCCCTATTAATATCAAATTATTTGAGGAAAGACTGCTATCATTTTATTAGTGTATAAGATATTTTGTACAAAATATTTAAAAGACATTTGAGTCCACCTACATAATGACATCCACTCTATAAAACTTATGTATCACATATGATGCAAATTTCAGACTTAGAGATAATTGGCCAAATTCTCAATCTCTTTTTACACTAAGAGTTTTTTATTTGGATCTCCTAATGCTTATCAGGCCATAGCAACAACAAGAGTCAATAGAAGTAGATGGTGCAGTCTTGGCCGCTCTGCTTGCTGTGCAGTGGTGCCACAAATACCAATCTAGTTGATGCAATATTTTGTCCTAGTCTATGGCTGAACTACCAGTATTGGGTAGATAAGTGCTGCACTCAAGTAATCTGTAAGGGTATGTCTACACTACAGTGTTGATTCGAGTTAACTTAATTCAAAATAGTTAATTCGAATTAAGCTAATTCAAATTAACGCATCTACACACAGAACCTATTTCGAAATAGTGCGTCCACACTGAGTGGGTCCACACTGACCCTGAACTGAAGTTAAGGCTGGCTGGAACCAGTACCGGCAGGGCATCAGGTTAGGACTTAGTGTGTGGGGCTGCTGCCTGAGGCTAACTGAGCTCCGTGCTTAAAGGGACTCTACCCCCACCCTGGACAGACAGTTCTCAGGGTTCCCCGCTTGCTTGTCTACCTTGATGAGGGACAGCAAAGCAGTCCTGTCTTAGAGTGCCCCGAGTGCCCGCACGCAGGACACCACAGCACTCGGCCACATGGAGCCAGAGTTGCCCCTGGGCATGCCAGCGCATCTCGTGGGGTCGTTGCCATCAGCCTGGCTGCACTTGCTGCAGGCTGCCATCCAGGGGGTCCATTGGGGGGCTGTCGGGATCCAGGAAGCCCTGTGGGAGAGCATCCACCCTCAGAGCCCTCAGAGCCACCGTGGTCCACCCCACCGGGGGCTCCTGCCCCATTCCTCCCTCACGTCCTTCCACTTACCCCTCCATAACCCCCCTTCCTGAAGTCAAACAAAAGACACGTATGTTCAAAAATAGAAACTGGGTTTATTGAACAAAACTGGGGGGAGGGGGATGAACCTCTGGGAAGACTGAGAAAAGGAGGTGGGAGAGGTGAAGAGAGAGGGTGGGAGAGGGGAGGGGGAAACCAGGGAGGAGGGAGCTGGAAGGGGGAACAAAGTGGAAGAAGTGGGAGGGGAATCTGAAAGCCCAGGGTTGGGGTTCTTGCTGGACCACCTTGATTTTCATGCAAACCTGCTCCTGGGTTTGCATGTGGACTTTGGTGGCCAGGATGGCAAGTTTTTCCACAAAAGCAGGTGCTTTTGCGGAAAAATTTGCCAGCTGTCTACACTGGCCGCTTGAATTTCCGCAAGAACACTGACTTCCTACTGTCTGAAATCAGTGCTTCTTGCGGAATTACTATGCTGCTCCCGTTCGGGCAAAAGTCCTTTTGCGCAAAACTTTTGCGCAAAAGGGCCAGTGTAGACAGCTCAGATTTGTCTTGCGCAAAAAAGCCCAGATCGCGAAAATGGCGATCAGGGCTTTTTTGCGCAAAAGTGCGTCTAGATCGGCACAGACGTTTTTCCGCAAAAAGTGCTTTTCCGTTAAAAGCATTTGCGGAAAACCATGCCAGTCTAGACATAGCCATAGTGTGCATTACTCCACAATTAAGACCTGTCCAAAAGTTAAAAAAAAAGATTAATGTGAGACCTTTAGGAACCTTTCATGTATTAGTGTCAATAAACTTAAGGAAGCATTTGTATTTGTACTTTAGCTAGGATTTCTAGTTCTAGGAATTCTTAGAACACTGCTGAGTCCCATACTGATGTTATCATTACAAACATGTCCTATTCCTACATTCAGAGAAGCTACAATGTCTCCGTGATGTAAATACCAGACTTAGAAAGATAATGAAAAGAGATATTTCTCCCATTTAACCTCACTGAGCCATTCTAGCTCTTCATACAGAGAAGTAGGAAATGTTTGAGATGGAGTTATTAAGATGGGACTTTAACAACCTCTTGGGTTTAGAAGAGTGAGAGCATCAAAGTAGAGGTGCAAATATTAATTAAACATAAAACATAATTAAACCGGCAGAGGTCAAGATTGTGCCATTTAGGCCCAGCCTTATATGGGAGACAAGGGGAAGCTGAAGAGCCCTGGAAGGGACACTGAACACACTGTCTCATAGAACTCCCTAGTGATGGGGAAGAACATACACAAAGCTAATTAGCCCATGAGTACAGCTT